GACGATGTTTCGAAAGTCTTCTGCCTTTCGTTTTCAGGTTAGTTTGTGTGTGGTGTAGTTTGGTCTTTGTAATGTTCTAGTGGATTGTGGAGAGGATCATATTTATCAAAAAGAAGAAGAAAACAAATTTAAAGTATGCAGTGAAAAAACAACAACTGAACCAACCAATCAAGAAATTACGTGGTAGATGTCAATGCATTTTTCATCTTGACTTAAAACACCAATAAATCACATATGCTGTCTTTCTTTCAAAACGGGAGTAACAATCAGTTTGTAATAACTATTTGATTCACTAATACACTGACCTAACATCGCCTTAAGACAAACTTCGTTGCCGACAATATCTTAACCTTAACGGATTGACAATTAACAGTCAATGCAGAAGCGGGAGAATACTTCTGTTTAATTAAAACAAATCATTGCGATGGGCGTTGGAAGGTGCTGATGTAATCCGATTTATTGCCAAGTGTTTTGAATGACGAAATGAACATTATCAACCAAGCATGGGTAAATAGCAAGAGTGTCTATGATGATAAGATCGAACCGATACTTTTAGAGTTTGAAACATTGCTCAACTAATATGGATACTTTCTCGTGGTATGTCTAGACGTGATGGAAGTTTCTTATGACTGAGGAGGAAAACTCCAATAAACTAAGGGTTGGCTGGCCCTAGTAGGTACTTAAGCTTCTCATAATTTATATTTTTAGGCATTACTATGGTCATTGCAGGAATTCATTAATGATTTTACTCAGGCTAAGGTCCAGTTGTGGTTCTGAGGTGGAGCACAATAACACACGTAGCCAACCAGCTACTCGTGTCCAAGTTGAATTTGGCGGAAATATAGGCATTCATTTCTACACAATGCTTTAACCGTTACAGTGGAGAACTTTAACTAACCATGGACACACCAGCTGTCAAATTCTCTAGTTTTGAGGTAAGAACTCCACTGAACATGGATAATGGCAGGTAATGACAGATACTCTTAATGATAATTGAAAGTTATCCCTATTTGGGGTGTATATACTGTTGACCATGATGATTAGGGATGCGTGTTACGATATGTTGACTTTGAGATAAAATTGGATGAGTGTAAATATCGAAGCCAACTACGAATCTCTTGCTGCTCGGTTTCTTAACCTTCGGACGTTAAGCCAACTACGACTCTCTTGCTGCTCGGTTCTTAACCTTCGGACGTTATTTACCTGTGTAATTTTAACTTTTTAGTAAACGTAATGAGACAGTTAAAAACATACAAAAACAGTCATATCTTAATGCATTACAAAACGCTTTTAATCATACTGATTATGTTACACTGTGTACATAAAAACATATAGAAATTTATTTATTTTTACCTGTAACTTTTTTTCAAGCATGAAAGAGAATGATAACGTTAATGAAAATGGATGGGATTACAATAAGTATTTCGTGTTGTAGAATCGATACCTAAGCATCATATCAAAGTAGTTTTTTCCTTTTTTATATATACATTGTTATAAAACTTTAGTCAGTTCTTTTCTAATAAATCTATCCACCAACAGTTTAAAATATCACAGAAGATGTCTCTGTGATAAGACTGATTGTTTTGTTTAAATCTTCCAACATTTTTCTGTACTAGTTCGTAAATTTTGTTAAAGAAAATCATGGATAACGCAAACTTGTAACACAACGTTGGTGATAGTAAAACACGAATTAATAATTCTTAGATGATATATCACGGTAACATAAGATCACATTAGCAAGCATAAATAAGCTTGTGATTTTAAGTCCACTTTGCAGTCACTAATACGATGTGGTATTTCGAAACTTCAATGCCCCAATTGGAAACTTAAGCAAGTGAAACAAGAAGTCGAAGCTATACAAGCGCCAAAATGTTATAAACTGAGATAGTTTCTGTTTTAAATTCGACGGAAGAAAAATAACAGGATCTGATATTATCAGACGTAGATGCATCTCTAACCATTCCAACCTTCAATGATACTTACCTTTAAATAACCTCGCAACAGACGGAATTCATGATATCCTAATAAAAGGAAATAAGTCGAAATTCTAAAGAATTAATAACATCTGTTATCACAAAACTGATAAAACTTTATAAAGTGAAGCCGTCGTCAGTAGGCCTAGTGAATACTTATCAAACATTAATCGAAATGCCTTCCTCTCTCTGCATCGACTGTCAGCAATAAAAGTATATGAAAAAAGAGATTGTGGAAGATAACAGAAAGCACGTATTTTCAATTCACAAAGATTTAATAATGTAATTATTTCTTGAGAAAGGAGACCGATATTTGAAAACATTTTGAACTGTCGTTTTCCCTCTGGATAATGATCTTTTGGAAACCAACTGAGTAAAATGCAGTAAGTGATTTGAGTTTGACCTACAGTGAAATATGAATGTGAACTACATCTTTCAATTTATTCCAGTGCAGTCTTGAAACTAAACTTTTCTAAGTATACGAATATCAAAAAGTCGCAGTATATATATTACTGATTTAAGAAAATCATTTCAGAAATATTTCAAGTTAACTAAACGTCAGGTTTATCGCACTTGATTTAGTATTAAAGATGAAAAAAGTCAACTTAATTTAGTCTAAAAACTCAAATACATATTATACAGATGATATTATTAAATCCAGACCCTGTTAAGAGAGGACCAGTCGTCACTAGAAACAAAAACTTCATTTTTCCGCAATGAACTCTGATACAAAAAACAGTCTAATTAATCATAAAAATAACCTCACTTACTACTTAAATGGTGGAGTTTGGACAATGCCTTTAGTATTGTTGACTATGGACAATGCTTTTAGTATTGTTGACTTACCTGTTATTTGAAAGATAAAACAATATTCTTCAACTAATTAATTTTTGTGTCTTACAACAAATTAATTGAGCTCTTTACTTTCTTATAAAAATGGCGTTTTTTAAACATTCTTTCCCTCTCTATCTATCTTTTAACAGTGTTAGTATAGAACATAAACAAATTTCTAAGGCGTTGAAGTCATATCATGAATGTTTCTCGTCCCTCAGCTGATGGGAAGAATTTAAACAAGTTTTACACAACTTTAACAACGAATACGCTAATTAACAAATATATGCATTGCTCTCGTTTATTTACTATTGTACACACGGTTTAGTACAGGATGATTCGGCCTCAGCTTCACATCATACAAGTGCATCAACGTATTTGGCTTTCATACAAAAATCACGAGGTGTCGTTCATTAACTGCTTCACTTTAAATCCAAACATCTCGATCTCTTCACGTTCTCGATGTGTAGGCCTAAGACCCTTACTTACATGAGAACAGTGTAAATATTTATTTGTGTATTTACTGTAAATGTTGAGATAAGTCTATAACTAGCCACTCATGAAAGGGCACTATTTTCATCCATTTAAATATTTAGAAATTTATACAAACAAATTTGGGGATAATGTTGTCGAATAACATCTCTTAATGAAAACCTAATGGATTTCAAAGCTGTTTATATTCTACTATGAAAAACGAAAATAAAGAATAAAACATTAGGAAGAAAAGAAAAATGTTATTGCATAACTTTTCTTGTCTTTTCGGTTCTTGAGCCGAGCGTGGCCTAATGGTTAGCATGTGGTTTACACTAAAATAACGTTATAATCAAAATGCGTACTAAACTAAAGCTGTTTTCCAAAATGTAGATGAGTGAAAAAAAACAGTTTATAGAGAGACGCATTAGTTGGCTTAAATAGATCATCAGAAAAGTGTTTAGTGTTAGATTATTATTTATTGGTTAATTTAGTAATTTCAGATTTCAGTTGGAAACAGCAACAGCCTTGACAGTCTTGTATTCTAACGATTTGTGACTAAGGATTGAAGTTTAAACTTATTTTATTGATGTTCCTTCACTGGTGGTTCAGCGGGAAGCTTGAGGGTGTGAGGGCTTATGGTGTTAAGGTCCGGGGCTCAATTCCTACAGTAGACACAACACGGATTTCATTGTGTAGTTTAATAGAAAAGCAACAACATCCAACAAACAGAAAAGCAAACAAGAATAACTTTATATTTAAAGCTTTGTAGTTTAAAGAGATAATAGTATGACGGTTAAATGAACTTATCAAACAATTCATCATGTAACAATTTTCTTTCTCAAATTTTTGGATCCAAAACTGTAAAGAAGGACAGGGCGAAGATCGGACAACATTTGAACAAAACTAATATCTTTATAGCCGGTATTAATTGAAAAATTAACGCACCGCCTTACTTCCAATGTCAACGACACGAAAGTTTTAATAAGCTACAGCACAAGCCTTTTCGGATAATTTTGGGGAACATTTACTTTTTCCTTCAGCAGAATCGCGACAGACGTGAGATATTTAAGTTATTTTTTCAAGAGATTAAAAAACAGAAATCCACAACGAACTCTGGTACCCCAGCTAGTTAATCGGCCAAACAAAAAATAACTTAGCTGGTCAGATTAAGTAGGCAACACACGGATTTCCAGTTATCAAAGGTTATTGTAAGCGTACGCTACAAATTCAATATCTTTTGACTCCGGAAGAAATTATTAATTTTGAGCAACAATAAGCGTAACTAGCGACATATTCATTCGACGGGAATCGATGTTTAGCGATTAACAGCAGAACGACTGCAGCAACAACGAACATTTGACACGTGTGTGTACA